AACGCTACGTGCACAACAATTCGCCGAAATTCTACAAGCTGCCCGCACCAGAGCCGCTGAAGCAATTAAAAAAGCCAATGTCATCGCTAAGCGCAACGCTGACCGCCACCGCCGCCCAGTCACGTACCAGTCAGGAGACTACGTACTGCTCGACACACAGAACCTAAGACTGCCCGTCGTACCGAAATTATGACCGCGCTACTGTGGACCCTTCCAAATCAGCCACATGATTACCCCAGTGACAGCGCACCTCATGTTGCCGACGGACTGGTACATCAGCCCTTCATTCCACGCCAGCCTGCTTCGCCCATACATCCCAACCACAAACCAAGTGCCTCGTTACCGCCCGCCATCCATGACTCGCCCTGCATCAGAGTCGATCATCAAGCCTAAAAAAGCCTGAGCCATCGGATTCGACACCCCACGGGAATCAAGAGGATTGAATTCCTCTTTCGCTGGAAGGAGCGCACGCCAACTGAGGATAGCTGGGTGCCCCTGGCCAACATCGAAAACCACCCTGCCCTGCAAGTGTACCTAAGGAGCCGGGGTTTCCGCGATATACACGCACTCGCGTAGCAAAGGGGGCTTCTTTATGGGGGGAGGGTAGTGTAAGGAATTTTCTCGATATTCCTTAGCGTGCCCTGCAACATCGCGTACAGCAGCAGCCGTTGTTCGCGTGTTACTGCTAACGGGGCTTCGCCGACTTCGCGCGCACTGTTTCACCAAACCTCACACTGCTGGACCGGTCGTGTCGGCCTACTCTTCGGGACTAGCCCGAGCCTCGCCTCCAGCGTAGCACTAGCTAGCTCGCACGCACCGCGTTACCGTTTGCATCAGGGCTGTCGCTTGCCCTGGCCGAAGAACTTAGCAGGTTGAGGTGGCCTAATTTCAGCCCTTAATTTTCCGGGTTGAGCCCAATTTCAACACTTAGATTCAGGGCTACACATCCTTCTGCACTTGAGCGTAAACACATCGTGAAAGTAGGTTGATGTTCAAATACTAGATTCAGGGCTACACATCCTTCAGAACTTGAGCGTAATCACATCGTGAAAGTAGGTTGATGTTCAAATACACCTAAGGGCTGCGGTACATAGCAGACACATAACCCGATCTTCACTGCATCGGGGGAACCGGTAGGTAATGTGTTTTACGTAAGCAGGGAATGAATAACAAGGGAACGAGGGGGTGGGGGGGTGGGGATGGGCTCTGAACGTATACGTGAAATCTGGGTTAGGAGCTAGACCAGCCCTTACGGAAAAAGGACTGGCCTCAAAGCCAGCACTTGAATTCTCTGAGTTGGGCTCAAACAAGCACGTGAATTCAAGGGCAAAAAGGGCAAATGCCCTTGTAGCGACAGGCCTGGTTTTCATGTTTCGCATATAAATGTTCGCACATGCCTTCGCTCACATTTGGTACTCGTTTGACACCTTAGTGCAAATTCTCGCTACTTCGATTCATTGCACCCGTAACACGGTCCAACGTTACACTTCGAATGTACTGTAAGGATTTACAAATCCTTACTGAGGCACTCGTTAGCGAGGTCATCCCGAGGGTCACGCGACGAACCTGTCTTGCCTATTTCGTCGCACCGAACCACCCCCGAGTCGGCCTCCGCTCCAATCGCAACCATCACCGAGCCATCCCATCCCGAACCCCCCGCCTAGCTAGCTTTCCCCTATTTAGGCCTCCCTACTTCATTGTTTCTTCATTCAGTAATTTCAATTCTCGTTATTCGTTTTACTGCGCACTCTGCAAGTTGATTCATAACATGTACGCTTCACTGACTCGGTAAAGTTGCGCTCGCACGCAGCCCGTCTGTGGTTAGGATTTCGGAGTGTGCTAGATCGTGCGGTTGTCGCAAGGGCAGGCAACTGACAAGTCATAAAACGTATTCCGACAGCTGGAATCTCTTATCATACGCCTATAAGCGTTTGAAGAGTCAGGAAGAAGCATTCGACGAGTGGGAATTTCCGACAGCTGGAGGTTTCGCGAATAGGCAGTGTCAACAGGGCAGCACTACATCCCAAAAATCACCAGGCCGAAATCGGTTGGAAGGCGTGGGATACCCCCGGGTCACCCTCTCGGGGTAGCCCGCAGGTTTCCCTAAAGACGCCCCCAGGGTACCTCGGCGCTCGTGCGATGGCTACGAAATGGTAACTCTCGCAATTTGGATTTCGGGTAAATCATGCGGACCAATCAGTGTTGCGCTCAGTTCGTTGTAACCCAGGGGGTATCCCCACAGCTTCGTATCGAGCCTGTTCAATTGGTTTGTACGCACTCTTCAGGGAACCACATCTGACCCCAGGCACTGTACACGAATTCATAACAGTAGCAATGTTCAACGAATACTATAAAGGCTATCGAGACTCTCCATCTTGAGTTTCTATTGATGGGTTTCGCTAGGTGGCAGCCAGGATATTGTAGACCAATCACAATTGTCCAACTCACTTCAGCAAAACTTTCGCTCCCTTTGATGTATTTCACAACATCCCTCGCCCATCTTTCTCATTATTCTGTCTTGTGAACTTGTCGAGTTCACACTTCTCTTAACTCGCCGCCATGTCTGCGTTTCGCGCTACTGCAGTTTCTTAGTCATTGCTGGAGGCTATGGGTGGCCAATAACTAGCTTAGTTTCTCGTCACTCTTTTCGTTGTAAATCAGCGTCATAAGCCTGGCGATTCGAGGCGTGAATGTCCCTACTTTTTTTTTCCTTCTTTTTCCCTTCAGTACCTAATTGTTTCCTCGTGCCATGTGTGTTTCTTTGCAGGCATCGATCATCGTCGTGCGAGGCACCCGTGTTTGGAGGTCTAGAATGTGCTTACGATGTAAGCAAGTTTTCCGTAATTCAACTGTTTAACATCGCGTCAGTTACGTTCGGCGGCCAGCCGTTGAGTTCAGGTGGCGCTCCTTATTTCATTGTTTCCGTACGGATCTATTTCAGTCGCTAATTGTTTCCTCGCGCCATGTGTGTTTCTTTGGCGCCCAACCAGCGGCAGCGGATTGGTGCACAGCAGCTTGGCGGAATCGCGCTCAACAGCTGCGGCGGAATCGCGCGGATAAGCTTCGGCAGGCTCGTGCGGAGCAGCTCTGGCGAAATGACACGCAGTAGCTAACCCTGCCAGCTGCATCATCCGATTTTCTTTTTGCCTTGTCTTTCCCTTGTTTATTTTTTTTATCTTTCACAGGCTCACCCGATCGGTTTGTTTATCTTTTTTTGAATGACGTCTATCTGCATTAGGTGAGCTAACATGGCTGCCACCCGCATTTCAGGTGTACAGGCGGCTCCATGCTAACCGATACTACTCATTTCTGTGTCTCCTGCTCTAGTGATTTGCTCCTGGAAACATGATAAGTGATGCTGGTATAATGTACTTGCAGACATCTTTTTCTTCAAATTAACAGCAAAGTCTCAAAACAAAGGTTCACGTTAATTATTTTTAACATTAATAATTATGGATATATCAGATGAGGGCTTTGTAGGACTAGTATATAGCCTGAATGAAGATGCGCTGTATACAATATTTTGGCTCAATGCGATGGATTTTACAGCGCTGATGCGGCTCGAGTTCGGCTGGGTTCGCGAGAAGCGGGAACGCACAGGATTAAGCCCCAACTTCTCGGGGGGTACCATCAGGGTCACCGCTCGGGGTCACCTCAGTGTGACAACGAACTGAACTTCGATCGGGGGTTACATTGGGGTATCACTGTTGGCGACAATGGGGTATCACTAATCGGGGTAACCCGGATGTGACCTTGGGGTAGAAATTTGCGGGGGACTTTTTTGGGAAATGTTGTAGAACATTGTAGCTCCAGCCAGAACTAACCCATCAACTGTTGACCGTAAATAGCCTTCCGTCCGAATTTGATCGTTAATAACTGACCGTCAGCTGCCGAATGTCACGCTACCAGCAACAGCTGACCCCCGATAAAATCGGGAATCACAAAGCCTCTGAATCCTTCGGGCGGTGTCCCTTTAAGCCCTTGCGTGACCCACGAGTCGCGTGTCAGTAGACGTTCGTGGTCTTTTTAGGCGAGTCAGGAGTTAACCACAGACCACTAAGCTGACTGTAGTAGAGTCTCCTGAATTAGGACAAAAATGGCCGGACTCGTTTGTCCTGTGTGTGAGGGGGTCAACCTGCCGTCGCTCTGCTGTGACTGCGTGGATCGCATGTAAGTGATAGAGTGCGGTGGGAAGGGGTGAGTAGAAGTGGTGATGGGAAAGGTCGAGTCGAATCGCAAAGAGCGTGGCAAGGTGTCGAAAGGAGGAGTGAAACGAGGAGCGAGATAAGGAAGAAGAGGGTCAAATTTTTGTTGTCTGAAGATATAGTATAATTCTTCTCGTGCTTCTGAAGATTTTATATCATTCTTCTAATGTGTCTATACTTGACTTCCAAAGATGTCGTATCGGCATGGCAAGAGTGAGCGAGAGAGGGAGAGTAGATGAATCTTTTCTCCTCTATCCCTTCTCTTCGTCATCCATTCCCCTCCTATCAGCCAACACGAGCAACGGCAGCTACTGGATCGTCTCAGGTGCCACAGAGACCACCTAAAGAATCGCCTGACAGCAGTTCTGGAGAGGCAGGTGGGTTTCTGTTAGAAGGACGATAGAAGAAGGTGGATTAGAAATCGGAGTGGCTGAGGGAAAGCTTCTGGAAAGCCAAAACCTCCACCATCCTGTTTAATTCAAACGTTCTTTTCCAAATTACGTTCTTCCTGTGTGTCAACGGTTGTGTGTATCACTATCAGGGTGGGAGGTATGAATGGGAAGGGCGGCGGAGGGAGGTGGAGGAGCGATGCGAGGTGCTGAGGAAAGCAAATTCGAGGAGACGAGCTCAAGTTCTGGAAGGTGAGAGAGGGGGAAGATGAGGGGAAGGGGAGGGGAGGGGGAGGGAAGGGAAAATCATTTTGTGGCGGAGGTGGAGGAGAGGTGCGAGTGGCTGAAAAGAGCAATTTCTAGGGAACGAGCTCAAGTTCTGGAAGGTGGGGGAGGGGGAGATTGGATGATCTACGTCCGATGTGAACGGCCCACCTACACTTCCTCTCTTCCATCCATCTACTCAATGCCTGACTCCATCTTCTGCTCGTGTGAGCTTGCAGCATCTAAGCCGTAGAATCACTTTGGGAATTCGCATAACCCATTTGTCCCACTTAAACCCTGACCTGACGGACCGAGCTTCATGCTGTCGGATCAGCTTTCTGAGTCGACTCAAAAAGCGACTTATAAACCCATCTGTCCCACTCAAACCCTGAAGTGACTGACTGAACTTGGTGCTGTCAGATCCAATGAGCTTGCAGCATCTTTCTTGGAGCCTTGATATGACTGTCAGAATCCTCAAAAGCCCATGTGTGCGTGAACTTGGACTGAAACCCTGGCTACCCAGATCAGATGACCTTGCTTGCAGCATCTCACTTGAAGCCTTCAAGTGGTATTGAGAATCTTAAAAAACCCATGTGTGTTCTAACTCTGAATGAACCCCCCTCGCTGCTCGCTGCCAGATGGCATGAGGTTGGAGCAGCTGCGCCTGCAGCTCAGCTCAAAGAAGTCGCTCCTCGCACATGCCAACGCCGTGGTGAGTAGCATGGATGTGATGGGTGGATGGTCGTTGCTGCTAGATAGGATGGGGCTGGAGCATCTTCGCCTGCAGCTCAGCTCAAAGAAGTCGCTCCTCGCACATGCCAACGCCGTGGTGAGTAGGATGGGTGGATGGATGGGCGGTCGTTTCTGCTGCAGCAGAAGCTCTTTGGGAGTTCATTGAATCTTTTTCCAAGCGGGCGCACCTAGGCAGGGCAGGGTGGAGCAGCCTTAGGAGTGTCGATGGATGGCTCCTAAGGCTGTGGCAAATCCTTCATCCCCCCCTCGCCTCTTTCCTGTTCTTCACCACAGCTGGCCATGCGGAGAGCAGCATTGGCGCACGGAGGAGCAGCAAGGGCGGGTGGAGCAGCCTTAGGAGGAGTGTCGGTGGCAGCTCCTCTATTCCCCCCTCCCCTTTTTCCCTCCTCTACCACAGCTGGCCATGCGGAGAGCAGCATTGGCGCTCGGAGGAGCAGCAAGGGCGGGTGGAGCAGCCACGGGGGTGTCTGTTGCAAGTGGTAGCGTGGGAGTGGCACACGAAGCAGCAAGCACAGGCAGCATGGGTCCAATGGAGTTGGGAGGGGATCGGACCAACTTGCAAGCTCTAGGCAACTTACAGGCACGTACCACCACCATGGCAACTTACAGGCACGTACCACCACCATGGCAACTTACAGGCACGTACCACCACCATGGCAACTTACAGGCACGTACCACCACCATGGCTTTCAGAAGTGGAGAAGAAACATATATATTCTTGCAGTGGGAGGGAAGGGAGGAAAGGGATGGACGGGAGGGGAAGGAAGCGACGAGCAGGATGGAGCAGGGAGGGGATCGGACCAACGTGCATGCTCTGGGCAACTTACAGGCACGTACCACCATGGCTCGAATGTGGAGGAAAATACTTGAATTCTGTGTTCTGGATTTCGTGTTGAGCTTGTGTTTTAACAAGTGTGCTTTGGGTCAACTTAGAAGTCACCTTTTCTTTTTCACTCGTGCATGTGTGCAACTGTGCTGCGTGCATGAAGATTTATTTTGAGGCATCTCTAAATAAATCTTCATACACGTGTCAACTTAGAAGGCACCTTTTCTTTTTCACTCGTGCATGTGTGCAACTGTGCTGCGTGCATGAAGATTTATTTTGAGGCATCTCTAAATAAATCTTCATACACGTGTCAACTTAGAAGGCACCTTTTCTTTTTCACTCGTGCATGTGTGCAACTGTGCTGTGTCTGTATCTGTGTGTCTGTATCTGTGTGTCTGTCTGTGTTGTTCGTGTGTGCATGTGTGCAGAAGATAGTGCAAGGCGCACTCAGAGCAGACCAGCAGCTGTGCCTCAAGAGGCTTCGAGACATCTTCCCTTTCAAGAAGGTGCCCATCCATCTCTACCTTCCCGTTTCCTGCCATACCTTTCCCGTACCCTGCCATACCCTTCGCGTACCCTGCCATACCATTCCCGTACCCTGCCATACCCTTCCCGTACCCTGCCATACCCTTCCTGTACCCTGCCATACCTTTCCCGTACCCTGCCATACCCTTCCCGTACCCTGCTGTACCTTGCTTTACCTTGCCGTACCTTGCCGTACTCTGCCTTATCCTCTTTTCCGCCCTTGCTTCCACTCAAGCTTGGAGCATCTGTTTCCTTCCACTGGCCCATGGGTTTAGAATTGCGCTGGTTTCAATCAATGATTGGATGAATTAAACGGTTAAGGTCTTTTTCGTTCCAGGCGTAGTGTTCTAACGTATAGTAATCGGAAGTAATTGACATCCGTTCTCTGTTTGCCTCGACTTTTCTATTCAGAGAAATGGGCTTTATTTTTTTCCTCGCTGTTTCCAAATCTAATTCAGGTGCCACTGCCGCCCAACTCATCACCAAACACCACATCATTCCCAACCCCTCCTCCTACCACCACCTCCCCTGCCACCTCAGCTCTTCACATGCCATCCCCCTCCCCTCTCCTCTCCTCCTCCCCTCCTCCCGTCTCCTCCTCCCCTCCTCCCCGCTTCTCCTCCTCTCCTCCCCTCCCTGACCCCGGCGAGTTCACTCTCTCAATCTGCGGCCTCCGCCTCCCCTCCTCCAATGCCCACATCCCGCTCATCCCCACTTTAGAGCTCGCTGCTGCTATCGGGTGAGTGAGATTGTTCCCCCCTTCCTGCCATCCCCCTCCTTCTTTCGATTTTCTGACCCCCCAAGTCCACTCTTTCAATTGCCTCCCCTCCTCTGACGCCCACATCCCACTCATCCCTCCCTTAGAGCCCGCTGCTGCTATCGGGTGAGTTTGCCATTGCATAATTCGAGTCATCTCCGCTCCCCCCCGTCCCTCCTTCGTCCTTCCTTGCCTCTCCTCCTCGTCTCCCCTCTGCTGATTCTTACGTCCCCCTTAGGAGCTCGCTGTTTTTTTAGGTTAAGTCTCATTTTCGCCCACTAGTTAGTTAACCACCCCATTTCACCTCTCCAGCTGCCTGGTTCGCCCTTTGAACCTGCTTTTTGCATAACTTTCTGTCTCTGAGTCCCCCTAGATATTCTGATTCTAACTCCGATCCTTCTACCCCACCCCAACCCACCCCACCCCTCCCCATCCTTCCCCACCCCACTCCACCACTCCAGCTGCTTGATTTGTCTCTTGGCCCTGCTTTCTTTTCTTAGCCAGTTCAAATTGACTCCCGTCCCCTCACGCCACCCCACCCCACCTCACCCCACTCCACCACTCCAGCTGCTTGATTCGACTCCTGGAACTGCTTTCCAAGTACCTCTCCTTCCCTCTCCTGCACATCGCTGCCTTTGCTGTAAGTTGTCTCTGAAATGCGTCAATCCGCGTTGACTTATGTTGTCTTGTGCTGATTCTCATGAGCCTGTTCTCCAAGTATCTCGCCTTCCCTATCATTTGCTGTGAGTGCCTTTTCTCTCATTAACTTGACCTGAGCTGACTTGCGTTGACTTGTGTTGACTGGCATTGACCTGCTCTCCATGTACGTATCTCTTCTTCCCTCTTCAACGTGTCGCACCAACACTCTTTCTGGACGGACCCTCAATCCTCCTTCCTCCCTCCATTCTTTGGTCTGCATTGTCTTGCATTTGTTTGCGTTGACTTGTGTTGACTTGTGTTGTCTTGTATTGACTTGTGTAAGACTTGTGTTGACTTTGCCCCTCCTCCCTCCAGGCATCATCATCCAAGGTGTGGCACCAACAGTCCTACTGGTCACTCGCTCCTCCAACCAACCCCAGGTGACTACCCAACGGAAATTTTTTTATAAAAAAAAAAAAACATTAATTTACACGTACCAGTTATGTAACTGATGCTCCCTTCTGTGGTTTTTGTTTTGCAGGGATGTAATTTCCTTCTCGCTCACACCATCTCACTCACACTCGCAATCTCCCTCCTCCCTTGACTCTTCCTCCCACTCCCCCTCCCCCCCCTCCCTTCTCATCCAACCTCCCCTCCTCTCCCTCTGCCTCCACACACTCCTCTGCCTCCACCCTTCCTGGAAGCTTCCTCTCTTCCTCTTTCGCCTGCAACTCTCTCTTTGGCTCATGGGCTGGGATACCGCCTTCCCCACTACAAGACGAAGCAGGCAACCCGATATATTTCTCCCATGCCTCGTCAGCGAATCAGCAGCTGCCACCTGGCGAGATCAAGCAGGTTCGGCGAGGTTTGCGGTTGCTTCGGAGAAGTGCTGCCTGCCTTGCCGCCGCCCACGCTGGCAGGTTCGGAATCGCCAGGCCTGGAGATGAGGTTCGGGGAGGAGGTGGTGCTGAGCTGGACGAATTTGCTGAGCTGGCAATGATGATGTCAGCCGCCATGCGGGACACACGGCTACCCTTCCTGCGGTAAGCTGAGTTTTACTTGCTCACGGATTCAAACTGTCCAAAGTTCCCCTTTTCCGTCCTCCTCTCACATTCCCCCTCTCTCGTCCCTTCCTCCCTTCCCTCTCTTCCCCTCCCCCTCCTTTCTTTTCCTGCAACAACTTGGCATGCAACTCATCGTTTCCCCCCCTTTTTTTTTCTCCACTGCAATCCACCACGATACTCGAAGGCCTCCCCAGCTTTTCTCCCAACAACCCGTTCCCGTTCTCCCTTTCCTTTCTCTCTTCCCCTTTTCCTCCCTCACTTTGCCTGCCTTGCAGCAATCAGGCATGTGACTCGTCGTTCCCGTTCTTTCCTCCCCTTCTTCCCCCCTAATTCCACCACTACTCAGCCTCCCCACCTCAAACCACTCCATCCAGCTCTCTCACTCTCACGCCATTACCCCCCCGATCCCCTTCCCGTTCCCCCCTCCAGCAAGCACTTCCTTTCCTTGCAGCAGCCACGGCTGTGAATCGTCATTCTTTTTCTTTCCTGCAACGTCCACCACTACTCAGCCTCCGCACCTCAAACCACTCCATCCAGCTCTCTCTCTCTCACCTCATTATCCCCACATTCCCCTTCCCTGCTCCATCCCTTCCTGATCTCCCCTCCCGCACTTCTCTGTCCTTGCAGCAACCAGGCATGTGACTCGTCATTCCTGTTCTCCCCCCCAACGTCCACCACTACTCAGCCTCCCCACCTAAAACCGCACCATCCGGCACTTCCCCCCTTCGCTGCTGCTTCTTCTCCCACCGCTGCTGCCGAAGGGGGAGCAGGGGAGGGGTTGCAAGTGCTCCACGAGAACCTTCTTGGAAACTCCCTTGTTGAGGACTATATTAGCACAACAGCAGCAGGCCTGGTGAGTGAAGGGAGATGAGGAAAGATGCATATGACCGCTTACTCATTCTGCATATAACCGCTTTAGGTATGTATTGAAATCTCCCCCTCTCTCCCGTATTAAACCCCACACTCCGCCCCACCCTCTCTCCCGCCCTCCCGCTCCCTCCCCTATCCTAAGCTGCCTAAGCCCTGTAGAGTCATCTTCGATACAAGCACAAGCGCGTTTCCTCCCCACTCAACCTTCCACTCCTCCCTCTTGCCCCCTCTTTCCCCGTCCAAGCAGCACGGTCGCAGAATACCCTGTAAAGTCATCTCCGATATAAGCACAAGCGCCGCTCTTCCCCACACCCATCATGCCACTATCAGCCACGGCCCCAACACACATCCAAACTCCACCGTATCGAATCATAAAGGCAGGGCAGGATCGGGCATGCCAGCCCAACTGGTCTCTGAATTCGGTGCGAATGGGTTGAATCTCAAGCAGAGACTGTTAGGATCGAGAGGGAAGGGGCACGGGGAATGGATGGGGTTTAAGCGGGAGGGAGGGCGTGGAGTAGGGAGGGAGGGGGGAGAGGGGAAGGGGGAGGTGGGAGGGGAGGAGTGGGCAGTGGTTGATGCGGTTCAGTTGCCACCTCCCCCGAGTGATGCCGAGGATGTGGAGCACTGGGCCCGAGCGATGATTGTTGATGCGAGGCGGTGATGTGGGGTCTAGTTTTGAGGCGCCTCAGAACTAACATTGGGCTCGAGCGATGATTGCTGATGCGAGGCGGTGATGTGGAGTCTAGTTTTGAGGCGCCTCAGAACTAGCATTGGGCTCGAGCGATAATTGTTGATGCGAGGCGGTGATGTGGGAGACAAGGGGTTAAGGGTAGCTGAGCTGAAGGGGGAAGCTCATCACGTCAGCACTTCAGCCCCATTAAGGGGCAGTGGTAGATGTGGGTCAGTTGCCACCTCCCCTATATGACGCTGAGGGTGTGGTGTGGAGCACAGGGCTCGAGCAATGGTTGTTGATGCGAGGAGGTGGTGTGGAGGGGGAAGTGGGGGAGGCGATAAGGAAGCAGGAGGCGGAGTGAGAACAGGAGATAAAGGTACACCAGGACGAAAAGGACAACATTGTACATAGCGTATGTCTGTTAGTCAGTCATGTTTCATAGCTCTACGATATCTGTTCTACAGTTGTAGATGGTTCCCTCCCTGCCTGCCTATCCAGTCATTTTTCATTATCGTACTGCAAATATATCATTTGACAAAAATCTCCAAGGGCCTAGCATGAAAGGATTTTAGTAATACTTTCTAATGAACATATTGTATGGGGTAAATGTGTTAATCGCGCAAATATACAAAGTACATAGGCTTAATCCTTGATTTCTACCGCTAACCGGAAATTACGCTCCAAATACCCTGAAGTTTTGCAGCGATATCCCCCATTTTAGGCCGTCTCACTAGGTCAGGGTCAGTGGCAAAGCGAGCCAGAATAATCATTGTAAGAACATGCACCTTATTCCACTCCCCCTCAATGGCCGGGTCAGTAACCAACGAAGGGTCGTTGACCACCTTATTCCAATCCCCGTGGCTGACCACCTCTTTCAGCTCTTCAAACCTTTTATCGATGGGGTCATAGCCGAATATCAGCTCTAAAAGGAACACACCAAACGAATATATGTCAGTTGTCTGGCGTCCTTGGCCTGTATGAAAATAGGTTGGGTCAGTGTAGCCCGGCGTGCCTATCACTGCTGATGGCATTCGTATATCCCATTCCTCGACATCCACGCCGGCCACCACCGGAGTGAGATCCTGCGAGTCATCGAAATGAACATAGACAGAATTGTGATAGGCTATATGTATACAATGTATTTTTAAGACTTCTCACAAAAACATTGTTTACACGTGGCAACCACTGGAGTGAGATCCTGCGAGTCATGAAAATGAACATAGATAGAATTGTGATAGGTTATGCTAAAAAAGAATGGGACATAGAAACGAACATAGACAAAGTTGTGATAGGTTATGAAGAATGGGACATGGGGATAGTGGTGAGACACACAGTACGGTGGTGCAAATAATAGCGTGTAATAATAACTCTCAAGCAAACCAATAGAGCACATACGCACACTTGCTCATTTAAACTTTACACGTACTTGTCGCAGAAGCACCCTTGAAGGCTTGAAATCGCCGTGAATGAAGCCCTTTTCGTGAATTTCAGCTAGCGCCTCGGCACACCCCAGTGCAACCTTCACTCTATACTTCCAGGGTAACCAATCCTCGTTTCTGCGGACTGAATGAGGGAAGATGAGGGGGTAGAGTGGGGGGGGGGAGGTGGTGGAAAGGGGGACACGGGGGGGAGAAGGTTAGTGAGTGAAGGAGAGGGGTTTGAAAGAGGGTAGGAGCAAAAACAAAAGGACCTTACTACACCTCGAGACAAGATGGCGGAGAATCAATGGTGACAGCTGACGTGTGACAGCTGTGTGACAGCTGTGTGACAGCTGTGTGACAGCTGTGTGACAGCTGTGTGATAGCTGAGTGATAGCTGTGTGATAGCTGTGTGATAGCTGTGTGATAGCTGTGTGATAGCTGTGTGATAGCTGTTACGGATCGTCATGACAGCTAATTGTGCAGCAACAGGAGAGAAAAATTGTGAGGTAGTAGAGCAAAGTGGGTAGAGGGGGGCAGGGAGGGAGGCGTGACGAGAAGGGTAAGGAGTGGAGATTTCTCTCACCTCGCATGAGATAAGCCTCGAGGTCGCCTAAATTGATCAGCTCATACACGAAAAGCAGCCTCTTTTCCGCGTTGAGCGCCACGCCTTCCAACCTCAGCACGTTGGGATGATTCATTGCTGAGCTGGCTTGCACCTCAGCCTGAAAATCACGGAAACAAGTACGCACTGAGTATAAGAATGGATGAATTGCCCGAAACGATTTCCGAAATCTGTATAAACTTCTTCTTGTTTTGGCAACTTCAAGTTGTTGTGTTGAGCACTTACTCTGAATCTTTCAATCTCCCCAGGCGTACGGCTTCCTTTCATCACTTTCACTGCCACCTCGTGATACACCGTCTCTGAGTCTCCAGCGTAGTAACCAGCGACATCAGCGCTATTTCCGCCGTCACTGGCGCTGCTTCCGCCGACAGGCAGCACCATCCGCCCGCGGTACACCTTTGCGAACTCCCCTTCCCCCACGCAGTCCGAAAATCCCCCCGTCGCCGCTTCCAGCTCCGCGAAGGTGAACTCACGAAGCGGAAGGGATGCGGCCATCCGGCTGAAGTTCGGCCTGTTGAGCGAAAAGCGGTGCCTGTAGGGGAGGTAGGGGGAACGGAGGAGCGGGAGCGGGAAAATCAGCTAGCTGAGGTTAAACGACTTGTCCGTTTCAAAGTGTTCACGAACGAATGTTCAGAATTCTATGGCGCCGCGTTCGGATAGAACAGTAACGATGGTTAAATGCTCGGTCGGCAATAGGTTGAATCACCTCGATATTATTTAATGATGATCCAGCTATGCCGGAAAAAGCAGCTGCGGACTCCAAGCGAGTTTTAACCGCACGCAGCTTGCGGGCTGTGAAAAATCGCTTGCGACAACCGCGGCGATTGAGATTTTAACGGTGATTGTAGCGAGTTGAACGCGTAAACAGACTCTTACTCTCTGGCGAGGAGCTGCCGCCAGCTACTGGTACTACACTGCATCGCAAAAATCTTGAGCCTGTTGTAAATGCTCTAGTCTACTGAGGCTCTTATGCCGATGGTTTCCGAGCGTAATACAGGCGGTGTTCGCCAGCACCAATGAAGCAAAAAAACATGGGATAGGGACAGGATCAGGAAGGTGGGTCTCGCCTTCCTGATCCCGTCCGTTAGTGTTCTTTAACCTTCGTCAGCCTGGTCAGCCCGTAAAAAAGCTGCCGAGCCTCCCCAACCGTCCAAACCAACAATCAAAGGGGGTGTCTGGCGAACACCCCCATTTCTCCCCGTAAAAGAACTGCATCACGGCATTTGGAAGCGGGGACGCAACTTCGTCCCCAGGCAAAGTTCCATCCCCTGGCCTGCCATCGCCATCCCTCGTTTTTCGAAGCACTGAGATGGCACAGCCATCGCATTGTCGTTCATAGGGGAACCTATGAACAAGCTTGTTGTTTGACTAAGGGGGGTTCAAATACCCCCTATTTTTCCCAACCCTAACACACCTCCAATGTGCCCCTTGCGCGGGACTTGGTCGAAATCGCAAGCTACTCCGTAAGCCTCTCCTCCTCACAGTCGTGACAGTCTTAGGATTTATTTGCCAGTCTTAGACAACCAGCGCTCCGCCATGAACCGACCAAACTTACTTGCGAGTCTGCAGGAATGAACTGCCCGGGAGGAAAGCCTCTCCCGGCAACGTGAGAGCCAAACGACTGCGCGAACCGCCGTTCCTGCTAGCACCGCGCCACTTGCACCCCCGGTAGCATTCCAGGGAAGAAACGGGCCTTCGATGCCCGAACGCGCCACTACTGCTCCCGTGCAGGCAGGAGCTGCGAACCCGTCTGCCGTGACCGATTTTCCACTCCCCTCTTATTCGGAAGTTGATGACAGTAACAACGTTGGGGAAAGTGAGACCATAAAGACGGGCCGTCATCCGTGGAACGACGACCTCACTTACGATCTACTCAACATAGTCATTGAGACTCAACGCGATAATGGCTTCGCCCCGCACGCCATCATCACGAAATGGGCAGAAATATATGACAAATGGGTGGAGATGCACGGCCCGCAATTGTACGATCTCGAGCAGCTGCAGAACCACATAAGGGTGGTTAAACGCTGGGTGAAGGACATCCGCTACCTGCAGAGCCTCATCAAAACCGGCATCAGCTACGACCCTGCGAAGGACTTCTTCTCGCCACCTCTCGAAGTAAGTTTCACATTCTAACTCATTCCAAGGACCTCATGACTAATGTAGCTACTTGGATGCGGCCGCGCCATCCCACATGCGGCCATGTATTCACTATGATATGAAAATCACCAGCCAACACATCCCCCTTGATTCCCCTTTGCATCTTCAGCTCGGAATCGTGGAGAAGCTTGAACGTCTCAACATATGGCCTAGTTACTCGAAGTGGGCATCCAAGACCGCCCCATGGTTTTCGAAAGCGGCAGAAATAGTGCACCGTAGTGGCCGACGCTCAAGATTCGCCACAGACCGTCACATTGGCCCCCTTGTGTTTGTTAATGACCCCGGTGTAGAATAGGATGTTGGAGACGCCCTCGAGGGTGACGGAAGCGGTGTGGGGGGTGGCGCGCAGTAGGGAAGCGGCGTGGGAGGTGGCGCGCAGGGGGGAAGCGGCGTGGGAGGTGGCGCGCAGGGGGGAAGCGGCGTGGGAGGTGGCGCGCAGGGGGGAAGCGGCGTGGGAGGTGGCGCGCAGGGGGGAAGCGGCGTGGGAGGTGGCGCGCAGGGGGGAAGCGGCGTGGGAGGTGGCGCGCAGGGGGGAAGCGCCCTGGGAGGTGGCGAGCAGGGAGGAAGCGCCCTGGGAGGTGGCGAGCAGGGGGGAAAGCGCCCTGGGAGGTGGCGAGCAGGGCGTTGGCTGGGTGGGAGGTGGCGAGCAGGGAGGAAGCGCCCTGGGAGGTGGCGAGCAAGGGGGAAGCGCCCTGGGAGGTGGCGAGCAGGCCCATGCAGCACCTTGCATGCCCATGTATTGCACGAGCGCTTCACAATGCAGCACCATGCCGCACCATGCCGCGCCATGCAGCACCATGCAGCACCCTGCAGCTCCATGCCGCATCAGGCAGCTGCCATGCATCACCAGGCAGCACCACACTTCACCATGCTGCACCATGCATGCACCGTGCATCACCCTGCATCGCCATGCAGCACCATCCAGGACCATGCAGAAGCATGCAGAAACTGCATGGCGCTGTGCAGTGCCATGCAGCACCATGCATCACCCTGCAGCTCCATGCCGCATCAGGCAGCTGCCATGCATCACCGGGTTGCACCAAGCAGCTGCGTCCCACACCACGAAGCACCTAGCAGCAGCGTTCTGCAGAGCTGCTGACCACGTTGCCCATTTCTGATTTACCTCGAGGTGTGCACGTTACCTGCAGATGAGTTCCCGCACGTGATGCAGGCTGTTGATGTTGTTGAGGCTATGGAGGACCTCACACCAGTGCAGAAGTCGATTGTGGGCGAGCGCTTCAGTAAGAACCAGGTCGAGGCGGCTGTGTTTCTGCGCCAGCGTCCAGAGACGCGTCGCGCTTTCATACAATGGGTGGCAGGTGTTGATAGCAGCCAGGCTTAGTCATCTCGAAGTAACTTGAAGTTAAACTTATAACATGTTTTATGTCCCCATGGCTAGAGCCATGGAATGAAGTCGTTGACATGTCCAAGTGGTTATAGACGTTGTTTGTGCACGATGAACTCTTAGCAGCTTTCATGCATGCCCCTATACTGGCCATCTTCGCTCGGCTATGCAGTCTAGTGCATTGGCAGGTAATCATTGACATGTCAGAGTACTTGTAGCATTGGTAGGAGTCTGAACTACCCTATGCAATATTCAGGCATGCCCATATTCTGCCCACAATCGCTTAGCTATGCCATCCCTTCACTCCGGTCCCATTCTGGCTGATTCACGAGGGCCCACGTCTGCCTCCGGCACGTGGGCATTCCGTTGGCGCAACTCTCTCTCTTGGATCCCTGCCAGGAGCTCCTCATCGTCCACGAAGTCTGCGCCTCCTTGACGCTTGATGTAGTTGTGAATAATGCAACACGCCTGCACGATAGTACACTGTAACGCAAAACTGTAAGGACGCATATGCTTAAGAATGGGGAATCGGGCTTTGAGCTGGCCGAACGCACGTTCTACAATGGATCGAAGAAAGGAGTGCGTCTTGTTGAACAACTCCTCCTTGTTGCGTGGTTGGAAGCCCGATTCTTGCCATCTACGCTGTGTCAGTAGATCTGCACTGTGGATGCCCGATTGATCCTGGAGAGGGTTACAGGCGCGTTCGCCTAGGGGGTTATGGGCGCACTGACCCGCTACTGAAACAAGCCCTTTTATCCCAATGGTCTAGTGGTTGGGATTCTGACACGCGGATGGTACATGATTGTTCTATATGGAGCTAGAAGATGCTGGTCGTTCCTAAACCCGGAGTCAGCAACTAGGAAGGTGCCATTCGGGATGACCAACGATTGGGTAAGGGAATGCTGGAAAATCGTGGAATCATGGGTCGACCCCTCACAGCCGACCATGAGGTATATAAATTCGCCGGTGAATGAAACAGCTGCGAGCACGTTCTGCGATACGTTTTTGTGACGATCGAGAAATGACTGTTCTTCGCTCTCTCGTATGCACGCGGGGATAAGGGTCCCATCTATGGCGCCTATGGCTCCGGAGAAGTGCCGGTAGCGGGGGTTACTGGCTAGAGATGACTCATCGCTGCCCGTTGGGAACGCAATGTACTCGTCGTACAACGAGCAGACGGCCCACGCAACGTTCCGGATGGTATGACTAATCGTGCTACCGCTCCGCTGCCAAGTCTCCTGCATGACCCTGTTGGATGCAGACTGTCCTAATAACTGTAGGAATGTTAGTAGCTGCTCGGCAGGTGTCTGGCTGCGCCCTTCGATGAGAAGTCCGCGACTAATGAGTATGTTCAAAAGCTTGGATACGAGGGAGGGTTCCATGCGCATAACCCCTTGCGCTCTTCCGGGTTGACCTTCTAGGAGGTGATTGCGTACGCTGGACCGCCTCTCGACAAATCGTGTTTCTCAGCCCTTGTGAAGACAGTGACGCATCTTGTAGCTCGATGCAGCATAGTTAAGGCCCACAACCCTCCAAAGATATCGCCAACTAGCTGCATCATAAACTTAGCAGAATCTTTACGACTCTCTTTGGAAGCTCTGGTGGTACCTATAAGGGGGTTGAATGGATTGGCGGAGGCCATTCCGTAAACTCTAAGACAAGTCCGTGAGTCTGGTTTGTGAGTGGATTGAGTACGAGGGGATTGGGGGTTGTGATTGAGGTGTTTTTTTGTTGTTGTTGTTGTTGTTGTTGTTGTTTTTTTTTTTTTTTTTTTTTTTTTTTTTTTTTTTTTTTTGGGCGATTGTTCTCTGGTTCGTTTTTTACCCTCGGTCTGTGAATGGTCAGTGGCGCCGTAAAATTCGCGCCACTAGATGAGGAAGGTGGGGCTGGGGGTTCCATATGCGGTTGCGAAATTTCCTGTTTTGGAAATTGCAGCTTCGAGGACCGCATTACGCCCAGACCTCTTTGGCGGGTTTCGACCTCGGTTCCGAATGCGGTCACCATGCCGATGCCGCCAAAATGCGGCAGTTTTCAAAGTTGCTGGCGAACACCGCCGCAGTGTTGTTTACATGCTGAGCCAGTTTGTGAGGGCAACTTGGCAATTTTGCGACTCATTTCAACCCTGTTCTGGCAACTCCGTGCTGAAGAGAATGTGTTCGGCTGCTTCGTTGAATTTGCAGACGCTTGATCGACGGACGAAATTCCAAGCGATTTGTGCAACGGTCAGGATCGCGAATGTGATTCATGAAGAATGTCGCGCCGCACTGCGTGGGGCATTGTCGCGAGGAGCACGTAAACGACCTGGGGGATGTGATATCAGGAATGTTGTTGGACGTTAGATCCTCTCGGATCGACGGTGTTAATTGCTCGGAGGGAAACAATTCGGCTCGAATCTGCCTGGAGCACGTAAACGACCTGGGGATGTAGGGGGGGTATCTCAATTCTCCGTAGCATTGTTTCAACGGTTGCGATCGTGTAAGTTACGTTTCATATTAGCTGCTCCGTTAGGGGAGAACAGCTATGACTCTTGTGTTTGTTATTCACTCTGTTTGTTGTCCTGCGTTTCTCTTATCGTTAAGACATTTAAAATTTTAAACGTTGAGATTTTGTGTAATTGGCACGCAATTCGTGTACCGATATGGCCGTTTATTTTTCACACTGAGGAGGAACAGTATTATTGCCTTTGCTAAATTGTGCTCGCCATCTGGTTGTTAATGACGTTTTAAGTGCGGGCAGTTGAATTGGCATTTCTGACCGTTCCAAATTTGTCTGGTGACGTGTCTATTGCGGTACTGCTGATTGCGTTGTTGGTGGTTGGATTTCGGCGCGACTCGATTTCAGAGACTGCTGAATGACTTCTATTGACTCGTTCGCGAATTCGCCAAGGGGGCTCGTTAGCCAGCGAGGACTCCCCGTTGGTCGCGACGGAACGGCAGCCAATCGAAAAGGGCGGTGAAAATCAAACAGTACCGTTACCGGGTCGCGTCAATCTCCAAATTCACGATTTCAACGCATTAGACATCGAGGCGCGCATTTCCCCACACAGCACGGCTCCAAATTGTACACAGGAATGCGATTGCGAACGGTAAATTCAAACAACAGTGCGTTGTAAAACCAACAACAGATGGTTGGATAGGGTTTTGTGCAATCATGTGAGTGACGGACCCGTCCTTACACCAGAAGTGTGAATTCGGTTCGTTCAGTGGTGCACGTCAATACCTTGAAAGTAGTGCGATCTAAAAACACCAGAGCACAAAAACTCAGTTTAGTCATCACCAAATTACATTCAACTTAGATTAGCAACTCACAGATTAGCAAGACATCGCAGCAACTCAGATTAGTCCATTCCAGAGCCACATTTTCTGTCGTAGTCGTAGGAACGGCTTAGTTTTGTCATGGACGACTTACCTCCGGTGATGTAGAGGCGTGTCCTCTACTTGACAGGAACTCTCAGTTGTTGTAAACGATAGAGCACACTCTCGGCTTTCCAACGAGCCGTCAACCACGTTAATCACCTAAGTATCCGCCGAGATATAGGCGTTCACGTGAAGGCTATGCTCTCAGAACGTAGGATAGAAGCTCTCTGGAATTTTTGAGTTCGAATGGACCATGTACAAGATGATTCAGAATTTCACTATATGTCATGCATACAAATCAATCACAATTTATAGCAACTCATTTACATCGAACCGCATGTGTAACATCGAGTCGCTACATTTCGCGTCGCTAGTGCGCCACGTGTAACAATTTCGGTTGGGTGAAATTCGGCCACCGAATTTCACTGAACACACCGAATGTGACTTCAACTCCAAGGTTGGAGTATGGTGCCGCCACGTGGCACCCAAGGGTGAGTCTCCGAAGTCAATCGGTGCCACCCCACCGATCCCTAGTCAAAGGGATCGAAGGCACCGAAGTGCCCTCGGTGGGTTGGGGGCATACCACCGCCCCACCACCGTTTCCCTCCAACACTCCCCCTTGCACCCAAGCCACTAGGTGTTCATACCAACACGCTCACGGCATGCACGGAATGAATCCTTAGGGAGTGGTTTAGTGAGGAAATCCGCGGGTTGCGCCTTGGTGCTTATGTAAGTGATCTTGACCTCACGTCTCTCGACCACCTCACGAATGAAGTGATGCTTCACCTCAATGTGCTTGGTTCGCCCGTAAAGGACGGCGTTGTGAGTGAGATTTATGGCCGCTTGGTTGTCACAAAAGAGAGGAGTTGGGTTGGCTTGAGGATGCCCAAGCTCCGCAAGAAGGCGCCGTAGCCATATTGCCTCCATGGCTCCTTGAGTGAGTGCCATATACTCCGCTTCCGTTGTGCTTAGAGCAACGGTTGGTTGCAACTTGCTTTGCCAACTCACGGCTCCCCCAAGCAAGGTGAAAACGTACCCACCGGTACTCTTGCGCTTGCTTTGATCACCGGCATAATCCGAATCGGTGTAGCCCTTAAGCACGATTGGACCGGCTTCATATACGATTCCCAAGTTGGGTGTGCCTTGGAGGTAACGTAGAACACGTCCTCCCGTACGCACATGCTTGGTATGAGGGTTGCTTACGGCTCGTCCAAGTACCCCGGCGGCGTATGAGAGGTCGGGACGGGTGGAAACGGCGGCATAAATGAGTGAGCCGACTAGCGAATGAAACCGCTTCCCTTCGGCTTCGTCGAGGGCAGATTCTTCCTCTCCTGGGAGGCAAGAAAATCCCGTGTCTAGTGGCGTCCCCACCGGGTTGCTATTACCCATGCCGAAGCGCTGCACAACCCCCTTCACATATTTCTCTTGGTGGAGGTGAATGGTCTCGTTCGCTCGGTTGCGGTCGACGTGCATCCCGAGGTAGTACGTCACCGGTCCCAAGTCCCTCATTGCAAACTCCACCCCTAGCCGTTGCTTAACCTCCCGAATGAGGTCTTTGGATTCGGAGAAAAGAAGGAGGTCATTGACGTAGAGCAAAAGCACCAATTGCTTCTCCCCCTCCTTCAACACGTACAAAGCGGT